TGGCCAAGAATAAAAATAAACACTCTTCGTTATATCGTCGAGCTTTCGGAAATGTTTATTTCCTTTTTCAAGACATCTACAATAGATTCATATTACAAACAAAATACATTACATTTTGTAAAAATACTTACTAACATGAGATTAGTTTGAAAAGAGGCTTCATCGCACACAATAAAAACATTTAAAACCTCAATGATGATTATTATAAACAAACAAAATTAAAATCGAAATGCATGTGGACAGACATAAAACAATTTCAGCCGTTACTGACGCTTGAATACAAATTCCAAAAAGAAAACATAGTAACATTTAATATTACCAACTATGTTGCCAACCTTAACTCTGGCGGCAAATTTGAATTTTGTAAAGAACTTTTTTCACTCTCAATGTTCAAAATGTAAGTATAAATTTTGCTTAAGTTATTAATGTCTGATTTTTTATTTAAATTATTTTTTTCACTGTTAATATGAAACATTTTAAAAAAGTTCTTTTCAATAAATTTTCTTCACTGTCCAAAACTGTGACATTATCATAATTCATGCGGTGTCCTGATTCGACAACGTGCGGAAATAAACATTTCCGAAAGCTCGACGAAATAACGAAGTGTTTATTTTTATTCTTGGCCACTTCATTTTTTTCCGACTGCAACCCTAAAATACTTTTACAACATATATATATATAGGGTGTTAGTAAATAAATGCGACAAATTTCGGGGGGTGATTCTACATGAGAAAATAATGGCAGCTTGCTTATAAACGTATGCCCGCAAATGATTCGTTTTCCGAGATACGGGGTGTCAAATTTTTTTCTTTAAAAAAATTGAGATTATTACCCGTACGCGCGCCAATGATAAACATAAAATTCTTAATTGCGTGTCAAAAAATGCGCCCTAACTACCTCTTAAAACCCACCAAATTTCATTTGCACATCTCGACCGGTTACATTCAAGTTGCCTTTTTCACGTATATTGTGCATTAGAATATAAATCTGTTACAATTGCTTGTAAAAAAATACAGTGGCGTAGGTTTTTTTTATAAAAAAGGGGTGACCCTGTCCAGTTGTACACCACTGGTTGAACCTTTAGAGCTCATATTTTAGGGAATACAAGGCCTACTATCATACATTATCTGTACTAAATTTTATTAAAATCGGTTAACATATTCCGGAGATATAAACAAAAAATTAATTTTTTTTTTAACAATTTCAACACCTTGTATCTCTAAAACGGGGCTGCTGCAGACCAATGTTTATAAGACAAACTCCTATTATTTTAAAGAGATCTATCTGTTCTCGAAGTTTCCTGTATAAAATTCGGACCACCCTGTATATATCATCTCTTTGGTGAGTGTTATAATTATATTCATCTTTTACATAAATTATTTTACTATGTAAATGGTTAGGCAATAACAAGTTCTTTATTTTATATATAAATTGTAAAATTCTTTGTTTTAGAAATATGTATAAAGTTCAATGCATTTAACATATTCTGTATTGGAGTATATCTACTGCACTGTAAAATTTATTTATTGATTTATTGATACACTGTTCTACATGTGTAAAAACCCTACCACAGAACAGAAAAGTAGAAAGAAACAAAATTACAGGAAAAATATTAAAAGGGAAAAAAACAATAGGCAAAGACACAATGAAACAAAAACGTGCTTAAAAACTATTTTGTTATTAATATAAAAAGAGAGCATCAATTGCAATTAAAAAAAAAGTAGTATTCAAATACATAAGCTAACATACAGGGATTTTATTTTGGTAGGTAACGCTGGAATTAAAATATCTAATTTATTAATAAATTACAATAGTTACACATTGTGTACATAGGTGAATATTTAAATATATTTGTACGTAGCATAGAAACATAAAAAGCGATTCCCTCTCTTGAATTGACCCTCGGAACGTAAAAATTAAGCTGATGTAATCTGGACAGTCAGTTTGGTTATTCAAAATTTTAATTTTAATAGTACACAGTGGCATCGACGCCTTAAATCAGAACTTTTCAACGAATGTAGATCTAATAAGTCAGATTGTAAAAAACCAATAGGTAGAAAGTCACTATCTATTTTAAAAATTAGAAATTCAACAAACTTTATGCAACTTCGATATTCTGTACAAATGAATGAGACCAAACGGGTTTTTTGCCTGTTCAT